AAAAAAAAAAAATGCAAACCTCTTCTCTTCATACCCCAGACCAACCATTAAACTCTCAAACGGCCATCAAACTCTAAACCCCACGTGTCAAAACTTTACAAACTCTTCTGTCCCATGATCTCCACATGTGTGTTGTATTTCCTCAACCATCCTAAAAACATGAAATCCAAATTAAGAGCACAATATAATAAGTCCCAATAAGAAAGAGAGAGAAGTGACAAAAGCAATATAAATAATAAAAAAAAAAAGGGCAGCATCAGATCAACAAGAAGGCAAGGGAAGAAGCAAAATGGGGTCATCAAAACAACATTCCACAGAGGTACTTCACCAGAGGAGTAAAATGCCATTTTGTCCCATGAGAATGGCATTTGGCGGTTTTGCCATTGCTCTCACAATTGGATACTTCACATTGTACACCATGAAGAAGCCTGAGGCCTCTGCTCTTGATGTTGCTAGAGTTGCCACTGGGACCTCCCATCCAGCTAACACTCACCCCCCTCCCAAGTAGATCAATTTTATTTTTCCCCTACACATCCCTGTCAGACTCAAGAATCATGGGTGCCATCAGTTGGGATCTACTTCTTGTGTCTGATGGGGATATCCCCATCAAGCAAAAAGGATTTTTCTAATTGTTTTTTTGGTCAAATGGGCAGTTTTTTGTATTGATTTTGGTTTTTTTATTATATTTATTGTCATGGGGATCTCTTGTATTGAATAACAATTAATAACAATTTGCTTTGCAAGTTTAGTTGGGAATTGTGGATTCTTGTTAATGAATCTTGCCTTTAATTTTGAGACTGATAAGAGCATCTTCAAACAATTTTTCTAGTAGTTTTTGAGTGAGTTACCCCAACCATATTTTTTATTTTAACTAAATATAAATTATTTTAATATTTATTAAAATTAAAGTATAAAATATTTGAATGGTGTGAGATGCATTTTTCAAAATAATTAACCATTTGATTAATGATTAGAGTGGAGAAAAGTCGAAAGAAAAAAAAATCATTATACATTTTAGTTAAAAACATGAAATGGTTAGCACGGTTGAAAATACTCTAAAATTAAGAAATTCTACGTTAAGAAATGTTAAATATTATATAAAAGATTATTCTCACTGGTGCCTCATGAATTTGGGATCATTCCTAATTTACCGCCTGAACTTCAAAAACTCTCAATTTGTCCCCTTAATTTTAAATTGTTCTCACTTAACCTCTTTTATTGTAATTTCTGTTAAAATTAGACAGAAAAAGAAGGGGTTAAGTGTGATCGTGTGGTTTTTATATGTTTCCTTTTAACAACAATCCAAACAGAAAGATTATATAATTGTGTTATTCTCTTTTTTTAAATCTATTTTTAACAGAAATTGCTACAGAAGAAGTTAAATAAAAACAATTCAAAATTCAAGTGGCAAAATGAGACTTTTTAAAGTTTAAAAGGTAAACTAAGAATGACCTTAAAATTTATGAGACATCAATAATAATAATCTTAGTACTAAAATCAATGTCATAAATGTCACATGTATACTAATTTAATACGCCTCTTAATTTTGAAAAGAATTCAT